GCCGCTTATCTTTTAGGTCAATTGAAAATAAAACAAACCTTTGGAGTTTGTGGTTGTTGTTTTATCTTGATTTTTCTGCTTTTTTGTTTGAAAATAGCGTAAATCATGTCAACACGAAAAATTTAGTAGGCTTCTCTTGTATTATTATTCTTTCTCTTTGTTGTTTTTTATTTGTCTTGTTTCTTATTTGTCTTGTTTCCTGTTTGTCTTGGTTTTTTTATGTCTCTTGTCTTGGTGCTTTTTCTTCCACCTTGTCTTGTTCTTTCTTTCTGCTTGCTTGTTTCTGTTTTTTATTTTTCTTTCTTCTGGTCTTTTGCTATAGTCCTTTTTTTCCTATATTCTTATTCTCTTCTTTTTTTCTAAAAGCTAGTCAGCTATTCAAAATGAAAAGAGAAATAAGAAAGCAGATCTTTTTTTAATTTACTCCCTAGATTTAATCTTATCTTAGGCTATATATCTTACCCGACGATTATTTTGGTTGACATTGAAATGATTCAAGTTCAACAACGAATGTTGATTTCGAACAATTAAAGTTTCCCAAAGTCAAACAAATCTTAGCTGAAACATTAAGTCATACAATTATTAATGATTTCCAAGTTTATGATGAATATAATAATTCACCGGTTTTATCAGAAATTCAATGTTGTCGATATCGGTATTAGATGTATGATCGATTACTTTTTACGATAGTAAGTCAGATTGTTTTTTCTATCTCATTAAGTAAATATATAAAATTTTCAAGTAGTGTTTGTGCTAATATAGAAATTCGTGAATTTAATTTTCATACACAACTTGTGCACAAATTCCTATATGTATAGTTTATTCTAATTAAAGACATATTTATTTCTGTCAATATTTGATTAAAAATCATTGAAAAATAATATGTTATTCATATTGAATAAATATAACTTTTAGAAGTTAAACATTTTATTTCTAATAGATTGTCAACAAGTTGAAATTTGTAATAAAAATTTTTCGTTTGAAAATAATTAATGGATATTTAATTTTTTACGAGTTTTTATTCAAATAGATCTTCTTTATTACTTGCAGAAATTTATGCACTTAATGGACTTTTATTAGAGAAAAAAAATGAGAATTTATCTGAAATAATTAAATCATTTGATGATTCTTGTAAATTAAGTCAAACATATTATGCTGCTGTTGAAAAATCTAAACATTTAAGAGGTATGTTCAGATTTCCGAAAAAGGAAATTACAGAAATTTCCGAAGCTTCCATCAACTCGATAACTACATAGCAGAGCACATGAAAATCTTTTGGAAATATTAGAAATTTTAGAAGTTTTAGAAATTTCTGTAATTTCGGAAATTTCGCTACGTATAGAATTTTGGAAATTTCAGAAATTTCGGAAATTATATAATTTTGAGAAATACCAAACAATTTAAAACACAAGTGCTTGAAATTTCCGAAACTTCCAAAATTTCCTTTTTCAGAAGTCTGAACACTGCTGACATTTAAGTAATGAGAATTTAGATATTGAAAATTCTTTAATTGAATTAGCTTATCAACGTTTACCACTTTTACATGCTTCAAATAAGTTAATTCTTTTTTTTTATAAAAATTAATATTTATTTTAAATAAATAAATACATTGGTTTTGTTTTTATTTAATAATATAAAAACAGCAATTGAAATATTTCGTTCATATATTCAAAATGTTCATATTAAATCATTAGAAACAATGAGACAAGTTTGTTTTAAATAAATTAAACTAAATAAAATTCATTGGTGTTTTTTTTCTTTTTCTTATTAATATATACATTAATTAAACAATATGCTGAATTATTATTAAAATGTGTTTGTAAAGGAAATTATTTTCCAATAATAAGTTCAGATGATAAAACTAATAAAACTCAGCGTCGAACATCTCAGTAAGAATAAATAAATAAATAAATAAATAAATATTTCTATAGAATTAGATCATTATTTATTCCTCGAGATGTTAATGAAGAAATTTTGTTATTATTATTATTGGGTCAAATATCAACATTAAATGAAGCTGTACTTGATTGGCAACCTGAACATGAAGGTCAAAGAGAACGTAGTCATCAAGCTGCTTATAATATTCTTGCTCTTCTATCAATATTTCTTTCTCGTAAACAAGCATTTCATATTATTGCTGATGTAAATTTTTTTTTTATTTATCTTTTATAATAATATTGTAATATATTTGTATATATGTCTAGTCTTATGAACAAGCTCTTCGTTTTTCATTTGAACATTTTCAAACATGGTTTAATTATGGATTATCATTAATATCATCAGGTCAATCATATCGTGCTTATCTTATATTAAAAGAATGTTTACGAATGGAACCAAAAAATCTTCAAGTTTATTTACAACTTGCTAAAATAATTCTTGAATATATATACGATGTAGATTTAATTGAATTGTTTTTTTTTTAATTCTTAAATTGATATTTTATTATTTAAAATAGTTTCCATCATTATTTGAAACATTTCCATCAACTGGTGAAGATGGACAAACATTATTAAAACAAACATTATATCAACAACAATATTATTTAAATCAACATGAACAACGACCGAGATTTATTGATCTTGTAATTTTCATTTTGTTTTATTTATTTATTTATTTATAAAAAAAAGAAAAAATATTTAATATTAAGATTGATGAAGCAATTAATTATTGTCAAAAAGCAAAAGAACTTGAAAATCCTCCATTTGCTCGTTCACTTCTTCTTCTTACTATTGCCAAATCATTTAAAGCTCGACAAACATCAATTCATCATGATCGTCAAGCACTTTTCAATCAGCTATTAATGATCTTCGAGAGTATTTTTATTTTTTTTTGTTTTTTTTCTATAAAATAAATGTGTTATGTTTAAAAGATCAATTGAACTTGATCCATATGATTCAATATCACATTTTCATCTTGCTCATAATTTATTTTTTCTAAATCAAGTTTGTTTTTATTAAATAATTATTAAATAAAATTAATTTTTATTTCAAAATAGACTCAAGAAGCATTAAAATCAATTGAAATATGTTTATTATTATCACCAGATGATAAATATGCTCTTCATTTATATACACTTTTACTTACTACTCAAAAACAAATGCCTGAAGCTTATGCACAAATATATAGGGCGACTAATGATTATCCTGATATTAGGTAAGACATCTTTTTTTTTCTTCATTTTAAATTGATTCATTTTAAGAAATTATTTAAAATTCTAAATAGTCGAAAGCTATATTTAAAAGAGAAATAAATTCATTGAAAATCGATAGAAATTATTGAAATATTCAATTTAAATAATATTTATCGAATTAATAATAAAGATAAAATTGATGAAAACTTTAAAATGTTTTAAATAGAATATGAAACTATAATAAGTTCGATTAGTTTTATTTCTCTGTTAAGTATTTTTTTTTCAAGAATAAAACTTCTCAGATAAATTGATAATGAGTAGGTTTTTATAAAAAAAATAAGAAAAAATACCAAGTAAAGATGTTCCATTAAAATATAAATAACTGTTAATAAATAAATAAAAAAAGTCAATATCTTACATTGAATATGAATATATTATCGAAAATGAATCGAAATAATTAATATTTATAAAGTATGATTAGATATCGATATAAAATAAAATAAATAATTAATCAATAATATATTAATAAATTCGATATCTCTAAACAAGTTAAATATTATTTAAATATATATTGAGATTTATCTTATTAATAAAAATTTTTTTTTATTAATTATTTCAGTTGAAAGTCAATTTAAATAAATAGAAAAAAAAATCAATTGAATAATAGAAGAAATTCTTTAGAGAATTTTCTTGAATAAAAAAAACAAAAGTCTTGATTACAAATCGATTTGTTTTATAATATAAAAATGAATATTTGAAATAAATTTAGTTTATTATTAACAAAATCTGCAATTGAAGAAGAATTATATGGATGTGAACAATCCATAATAACATGTAAACAAGCATTACGAATTTGGAAATATCAATATGAACCTATATTAACAAATAATCTTAATCAATATCAGGATACATCACAATCAAGGTTAGTTTTTAAACAATACACTTTTTTTTATTTAAAATTAAAAAAAAAACGAATTTGTGAATGTGTAGTGGTAGAAATCGTCCAAGTAGTCGATCACAAAATTCTTCAATTAATTTAGAAACTGATGGTGAACAAATATTAAATAGTCAACAAGGAACATTAAAAGTTGAAGTTGGAATAAAAAATTTATTTTTATTTGGTTTTCGACCCTTATCATCATTATTTAATGATGAGAATTCTATAAGAAATAATCGATCATCAACACAATTTTTTTCTCTTCAACTGATTTATTTTAGTTTACTTCAAATATTTGAACATCTCGGTAAAAAGAATTTTTCTTTTTTAATATTTATATTTAAATAATAAATATTTTTTATTTTTATTTAAAAAATGTTCGATATTATATAAAATTAGATAAAATCGATGAAGGTGAATGTTGTGTAAAAGAAATCTCGTCATTAAATCCATTATGTCATCAAATGTTTTATATGCGTGGATTAATAAATGATGCTCGTGGTCAATTAAAATTAGCTAAAATAAATTATAATGATGCATTAACTATTTATCCATATCATTTTCCAACATAAATTCAATTAACAAAACTTTTAATTCAAATAGGAAATTATTCATTAGCTGAAAAATATGCAAGAGATGCTATTGCGATTCAACCATCGAATTATCAACCTTGGTAAAAAAAAACAACATATTTATTATTATTTATTATTTTTTTTTTTAAAAAAAAAAAAAAGGTATTTATTAAGTTTATCAATGGAAGCTCGTGGTGAATATGAACAATCGGTTGATGTTGGTGCAACTGCTGTGCATTTAGAAGAAGATTCTCCAATTGTTTCTTATCATTTGATAATCCGTGTTCTTTAATGATTTCTATTTTGATTTTGATTTTTTTTTGTTTGTTTATCATATTAATTATATTTTATTGGTACATAATCATAAATAATGTCCTGGTAGAAGTGTATCATATATATTTGATTGTCTTTGACGATTTCCATAAGATAAATGACGATGTTTATTTGTTGTTGATCGAAATGAAGAAAAATTAGTTAAAGGTTGACATGGATGATTAGACTTTATTTAAATAAAAATAATCATTATTTAGAAAACAAATATGTTTTAACATACAGATATACGAGTTGATGGTGATGATGATGATGATTCGATTGATAGATTTTGAAATTGATTAAATGTTGGTTTTATTAATTGAGATGATATTGATTGTCCTTGTTGTCGTGGTGCAGGATATGGTATTCGTTGCATTGATCCTGATGGAATTTGAGTTCTTCTTCTATAAACATGTTTTAATTTTGGATCAATTTCACTCGGTTTTAATGGTTGGTCACGTTGAGATGGAGAACGTCTATCAAGAACTTCTCGTACAGCATTAACAACATTTTCATAAATAGATCGATTTGGTTGTTGTGGAGGTGGTGATCCTTCACGTGGAACTAATGATAGTTTATAATCCGTGACAGGTGGAACTGTTGGATAATGAAGAGCAATTCTTCGATTAAATTGATCTTGACTGATTGACCAAGGTAGATCTCCTATTGGTCTTAATCTTTGATTATCATTTATTGAATTTTTTTTAGTACGAACATATTCTTCCATTAAACGACGAATTTCATGAAGTTCATGTAATAAAATTAATTCGATATTTGAACCTCTCATATCTGATCTTCGATTAGTTAATGAAGTATCGTTGACTGCATAAATGAGATGGTAGTCGAATTGCGAATGACTATTTTTTGTTTTTATCATTCTGTTTATAACCAAAACAACATAATTATTTAAAAAAGCCAGTATTCACATGTTAAATGATAAGAAGATATATTTGTGGTGATTAGGAGAATATTCGATAAATATTCAAAGTACATATAAACATAATATCAGAAATACACTTCTATAAATAACACAAAGAAAATATATTTATGAATGAATATATAACAAAAAAAACAAAAAATAAATCAGTCGAAATAAAGAATATAGTTTGAAGGTAAATAAAACTAATCAATTGAAATAAATCTTCGAAAATGATCACTGTTAAAGTGAAGAGAAAATTCAAATGAAAATAAAGATTTGTTATTGATCGAATAAAGACATTGAATTAATCGAATATAATTAAAAATCGAGATAGATTTTATAATAATCAATAAATAAATCTAAAGATTTATTTAAACATCGTTTGAATTCGTTTAAAAGTCAGTTGTCTGTTTTGTTTTTCGATATATTTTTTATTTGAGATAGACCTTTTATATAAATATAGTCGATTACGACAAATCTTTCTCGATTATAAAATGGTATTGAATTTATATATATTAATATAAGTTATTTTGTTTTAAAAATATCTCAATCATTCATTTTTATATTGAAAAAGTTTTAAAAAAAGTCGATTGTTGAAAAGTGTCAATCTTTATTGTAAATAATTGTTTTTATAAAAATAAATATAATTATTTAAAATATTGATTTTATTTGTCGATAATATAAATGAATATATTGATTTGTTAAATTCTATTAATTAAATCAATATAATAATATTAATTCAACTAAACTTTTTATTGATTAATTATATTTAACAAATCTTAAGAATAATTTTTCTTTTTAGATAATTATAGAAACCATTTATTCAACATAATCAAACGATTTATTTTAACGAAAGATTATTTTTCATCGTTTCATTATGAAAATATCGTTGCCAAGATCAACAAGACTCTTTTCGACAGGTCTCGATTTAGAAGATTTTACAAGACTGTTAACATGAGATCATTATGAAAATATTCTTTAATTTTTTTTATTATAATCTAACCAAATCTTTTCATATGATGTCTTCGGAGAATATCCCCGGAAACTCGATTATGTCCTAGGGTAAGAGGTATATAGATATATAGGTATAAGAGGTATAGGAGGTATAGGGGGTATAGAGGTATAGGAGGTATAGGAGATATAGCAGATATTAATTAAGTAGTGCAGATAATCTTTATACAGTGCTTAACTTTGAATAGTGATTCAGTCAGATATATTCATTCAATTTATGGATCCTTGCTCGAAAAAATCAATCATAAAAAATAAATAACCGTTTACTGTCTCCTATACCTTCTATATCTCATTCGACTTATCGATCCTTGCTCGAGAACATCAATCATAAAAAATAAATAACTGTTTACTGTGTCTCCTACACCTTTTATATCTCATTCAACTTATCGATCCTTGCTCGAAAAAATCAATTATAAGAAAAAAATAAATGTTTACTGTGTTTCCTATACCTCCTATATCTCCTATACCTTCTATACCTCTATACCCCCTATACCTCTTATACCTATATATCTATATACCTCTTACCTTAGGACATAATCGAGTTTCCGGGGATATACTTATTATTTGTAAAAAAGTATGTTTAAATAATAATAAGATAAAAAATAAAAATTTTATGTTTTTTTTTTCTTTTTGATTTAAAAATAGGATCGACGAAATACATTGATTTATATTGAACGAGCTGATTTAGATAATGCAGAGATTGAAGATATTACTGATAGAAAAAGTATGATGAAATTAATTGGAATTCTTTTTTTTTTTTTTTTTAAACATTTTCTTTTATTTAGACATTCGTTTCGATGAAGAAAATTTTATTAATGTATTTTTTTCTTGGCGTTTACATGATCATATACAAAATAAAAATTATTTATTTTCTCATCGTACACCATTAGATAAAATACAAATGATGGATGCATTAGAATATGAACGAGCATATGTTAAAGAAAATTTAATAAAAAATTTAGAAATTCCTCTTTGTACACGATTATCAACATTGAAAACTGAACAATATATTGCTAATCAATTAATAACAACTATAAAATCATTTCCTTCTATTACAAAACAACGTAAGAAAAATAAAAAAATTATTTTTTTTTTTGTGTTGTTAAATATTTTTGTTTTATTTTTATAGATCGTTCTATTTCAGCTATTCTTCGAACAAGTAATTCACCATGTAGTAATCAATCATCATTATTAACAACAGCTATTTATCATACTCCAACAAGACGACGTAAATCATCATTACCAAGATTTGTACGTTGTTCATCACCTGATTCATCTGCTGACGAAAGTTTTCGTTCAATAAAATCACGTTTACGATTTTGGTCTTAATTAAAACTATTCCCTGATTTTGCATTTTTTGTTCTGTTTTGTGTTGTGTGTATTTATATACGGTGCTATCTATTACTTTATTTGTGAATGCACAGTTTTGCTTAAGACAATCTGTTTTATTTTGATAAAATAAAAAAAAATATTGTAAAGTTTATTTCAATGAAATTAACAAATGTTTAAAAGAATCAACTCCGGAAAATTAGCTAGTATCAAAAGACGATTCCAACTCATTCGAAGATCAACAATTATCCTATGTCATACTACTGTGAGTCAAATTAACAGTACAACCAGAAAAAAGTTGTAGAGAAACTCACGAGAGAGGAGCCCCTCAATTGATTAATTGCTTTTGGGTTGAGACAAAGTGTATCATGTTATTGTTTTATTACTGCTGAGATGCTGAAAATTTACGGTATTTTTTTAGCTGAAAGCTGCTGTCTGATTTTCGAATTTCAATTTCAAAACTTCCTACGGAACAACGCCTCGAACAAAATAGTTTATTATGAAAATCCTAGGCCATGTAATTTGTTCCTATCCTAAAATAAGAGTATCTAATCGGACAGAGTGTGTAAACAATGAAATCTTCACCATAAACTGTTCCATCTTTGTGCAAAGTTTCAAATTGAAATTCAAAAATCAGTTTTTTCGATATCCTTGAGGTGGATCACCGTTTTGAGTTAAAAAATACAGTATCTCAACAGCAATAAGCTAACAACACGAGCTGAACTCATAACTCATTAGGATCTACATGATGTATACTGTTCCAACTAGAGATATACAGGACCGGAACTAAATATTCTAGTTAAATTTTCTATGATGTTTTAGCGAATTATATTATAAATCACATCAAACAAAGTGATATTCAGTGGCTATAATAATCAAAATATGAGTATTTCAGAAATTCTGAAATGGTTTTCTCTAACAAGGAAACATTC